GGGGGCAGAGGCCAGGAGAGCGGGACGTATTCACAAGTGCAAGGCCAGCTAAGGTCGCTGAGGGATTTCGAACATCTTCCCTGGCTCGCTCCTGTGACTTTAACCGCAGATTGAGCGACAGGAATCAGCTGCTGGTACTTTTCTTGGCTTGGAAGGGACCCAAAGGGTCATCTAGCCCAACCCCCTGCAGTGCTTGGGAAACAAGAAGTGTGGTTGTCTACTCTTCAAAGCAAATAATAATATGATAATTTATTATCTGTACCCCGCCCATCTGGCTGGGTTTTCCCAGCCACTCTGGGCAGCTTTCAACAAAAATTAAAAATACATTAAAATGTCACACATTAAAAGCTTCCCTGAAGCCTTCAGATGTCTTCTAAATGTCAGGTAGTTGTTTATTTCCTTGACATCTGGTGGGAGGGCATTCCACAGGGTGGGCGCCACCACCGAGAAGGCCCTCTGCCTGGTTCCCTGTAGCTTTGCTTCTTGCTTCTTGCAGGAAGGGAACCGCCAGAAGGGCCTCAGAGCTGGACCCTGGTGTCCGGGGTGGAGACGCTCCTTCAGGTATACTGGGCCGAGACCGCTTAGGGCTTTCAAGGTCAGCACCAACACTTTGAGTTGTGCCTGGAAACGTACTGGGAGCCAATGTAGGTCTTTCAAGACCGGTGTTATATGGTCTCGGCGGCTGCTCCCAGTTACCAGTCTAGCTGCCGCATTCTGGATTAGTTGTAGTTCCCGGGTCACCTTCAAAGGTAGGCCCACATACATACAGCAAAACAAAGAAGCCTAAATTAACATTACCTTCTACCGATGAGAAATAATAATTACTATTACAATAATGAAAATACTAAAAGTACATTTACTTCCCCTTTTAGACTTCTATTCTGGTTACAATATATTACTATTCTATGAGAATCTATTATATCCTTTGCTGTCCCCTATATAATTTTATTTCCCAAATTTGGGAATTAGGGCCACGCATTCTTGTGCATGCAAAATAGCAGAGAAAATGCTTTGTTGTGTAGTTAATGTGGAACTCAGGTCTCTACGTCCTTCAGCCAGAACACCACCAGGTGGCAGCAGAGACCACACTGTAATCATAGGGTCATTGAATTGTAGACTTGGAAGGGAACACGAGGGTCATCTAGTCCAACCCCCTGCAATGCAGGAATCTCAGCTAGATTTGTGAGAACTTGGTTTTGTTGCCAGTTTAGGACAGGTTTGTCTTTGCCAAATGGTTGCCTCCAGATGTTTCAGACTACAATTTCCATCACTGGCGGGAGTCCAAAACAACTGGGGCAGGTTGGTAAAGCTCTGCTACAATGCTAAATGCTAATGCCTCAGATGGGCATATTTTTCTCTAAAGGTGTTGTATGCCTTTAGAAGCTGCTCTGCAGGCAAAAATTCAACAGGTGCAGTTTCCCCACTTATTAGAGCCTTCCTGCCTAGAGAAAGCTGAGAGTATCTGTTGGATATTCTGATTTCAGAGCAAGCCCAGGCACATCCTCATAAGTGGGAGGCAGAAAGACATTTACGTCGCAGTGGTTATTTTGATTTATTACCCGTCTTTTGCCATAAGGTGCCAGGCTGGGTTACAGCAATTTAAAAACGCAGTTTTAAAAACAGTTTGACACAGTCCTAGGATCAGTGAAACAGGTTTTGGGTGTGTGTGGGAGATTCAGAACAGAAAAATATATATGAAAGAGTTTATTTTGTGGCATTCACAAAATGCAGCGTTGGTTAGTTTTTGAGATGACTTTAAATGGGGCTAGATAGTGGAGGAGCAGAGGCCAATACTCTACTCATTTCATTCATTATTACTCTTTGTTTTCCTCTGTAAAACAGCAGACCTGTTTGTTTTCCATTTCATTTTATTGGTTCAACAATTTTGCGAGGTAGGAAAGGCTGGGAGACAGTGGCCACAAGGTCACCCGCAGTGAGAGAATTCTGGCTTCTGGCCAGGTAGGGTATGAACCCAGGTCTCTCCAGAGCTACTCTAACCACTACACTGCACTGTCAGCTATGAGTCCCATGAATAATAATATTAATAATAATAATAATAATAATTTATTTGTACCCTGCCCATCTGGCTGGGTTTCCCAGCCACTCTGGGCAGCTTCCAACAAAGATTAAAAATACATTAAAATGTCACACATTAAAAACTTCCCTAAACAGGGCTGCCTTCAGATGTCTTCTAAAAGTCTGGTAGTTGTTCTTCTCTTTGACATCTGGTGGGAGGGTGTTCCACAGGGCGGGCACCACCACCAAGAAGGCCCTCTGCCTGGTTCCCTGTAACTTTGCTTCTCGCAGTGAGGGAACCGCCAGAAGGCCCTCGGCACTGGACAATGGGGATGGAGACACTCCTTCAGATATACTGGACCGAGACCATTTAGGGCTTTCAAGGTCAGCACCAACACTTTGATTTGTGCTTGGAAACATACTGGAAGCCAGGACCGGTGTGATGTGGTCTCAGTGGCCACTCCCAGTCACCAGTCTAGCTGCCGCATTCTGGATTAGTTGCAGTTTCCGGGTCACCTTCAAAGGTAGCCCCACATAGAGCGCATTGCAGTAGTCCAAGCAGGAGATAACTAGAGCATGCACCACTCTAGCGAGACAGTCTGCGGGCAGGGAGGATCTCATCCTGCGTACTAGATGGAGCTGGCAGACAGCTGCCCTGGACACAGAATTGACCTGCGCCTCCATGGACAGCTGTGAGTCCAAAATGACTCCCAGGCTGCGCACCTGGTCCTTAATTGAAAGCTCCAAATTCAGAGGCACTCTACACCTGCGTAACGGATGCTATGTGGAACACCTTAGCATTGGAGAGCTTTTAGTTTTCAGCAAAGCTTGAAGATTTTTTAAAAACCTAATTGGCATCCGTGTGGGATTCAAACTTGATTTCCATATGTGCTATTGCTTTATATATTGCTGCATGTCACACCAGTCTCCAATCTCGGGTTCCAGGAGTTCCCCCAGGGTTCGGTTTCCTTGGAATGAGGGACAGCGGAGACTCTGGTGTCTTTAGGATATATGGTTTATTTACACATACATGCAACCTGAGCCTAGGATGGAAAGGCTCACAGCATTGCACCCCAAGAAAGTCTTGCTTCTTCCATAGCCACAGCCTTGGATCCCAGCAGAAATCAGGCATGGCTCTGTTGTTTAGCTGCCCAGTCTGCAGCCCACTAGCTTCTAGCTAGTAATAATAATAATAATAATAATAATAATAATAATAATAATAATAATAATTCTTATATCCCACCCATCTGACTGGGTTGTCCCAAGTTGCTCTGTGTGGTTTCAAACAAAAATACAGAGGGAAAGAAAAGGGGTTTTTTTGGGGGGGGGGGGGATAAGCAAGCATTAAAGGCTCAACTCAAGCATTAAACAAGCATTAAAGGATTTTGTATCAGGCCGTTAAGGGAGGGGCCCCTCCGCCCATTGCCCTCTGGCACAGAGCCACTTCTTTTGTTCCCTTAATGACCCATATTTAGTGTGGCCATTATCTATCAAGAAGCAATTGAATCCTTGCTGGATTCAGGAATTAGAAGAGCCTCGGGCTCACGGCCTCAATGCCCCCTTCCTCGCTCAGAAACTCACAGCACTTTCTTCCCAATCTGTTGTGAAGCTGCTTGTTGAAGACCGCAAGAGAGCTGCTCTTGTGTTCGAATCCTGTCTGGTCGGCCACTGTGAGAACAGCATGCTGGACTAGAGGAGCCCTTGGCCTGACCCACCGGGCTGCCCTTATTTTCTTATGTTTGATCCGGACAGGCCGGCACTTATTTTTAAGGTGGCAGTTCTTAGAACTGAGGGGCAGGGAGAAGCCATTGCAGTTCAGATGGTTTTGATATTTGTAATGTAGAAACTCCGCTGCTCTGATATGTTGCCTTAATATGCCTTCCGAAGAAATGGTTTCTGTATGCCACGACCGCCGCCCGGATATTCTTAGCCCAAAGATGGAAAGAAGAAGCTGTCCCAATTAAAGAAGACTGGCAAATCAAGTTACTGTAATGGAATACGCCTAAATGGCTAAATTAATTGGAAAGCTCAGAAACCAAGACGACAAGAAATTCAGAAAAGAATGGGAAACGTTTGTTGTAAAAGTATTGTAACCAAGTTAACACACTGGCAGGATTTTAAGAACACTTGTAGTTTTAGAGATATAATAGAGAAAATTGGATGATGATGATGATTTTTTTGAATAGTAATAATATGCAGTTGAAAAGAAAAATTAAGGAACCAGGGGAAGGGCTGGAGGGAAGTCACGGGATTAAGAGAATCCCTATTTTTGGATTTGAAATTGTTTTGGTATATAGTTTTGTGTGTGTGTGTTTGTTATTATTGTTTCTGTTATGGTGATTTTCACTTTTGTATACAGTAGTTGGGAGAAAATCTAATAAAATGTATTTAGAACCAAACCAAAACATACCTTCCAAGTGTAGAACAATTCCAACTGGAGAACAATTAAAAGTGGTGTTGGGGGGGTTGTAAGTGCAAAAACGGAGCCCTGTTTTATCCTGAAAACAAAACTCCCGCTCCAAATGAAGGAAATGAAGGGCTTTGCTGGCATGCAAAGCCCTTCCCATAATTTTGAAGGGATAGGTCACTAATCCACTCTAAATCCTTCCATTGCAATGCTTCCACATCCAGCCTTGTTTTAGGAATTACGTGGGCGTTTATTGCTTTATTGCAAATTGAGCAACCTTTATCTCTCTGCTCAGAAGTAAGTCCCACTGTTTTCAATGGAACTTACTCCCAGGTAAGCGGGTAAAGTCTGTGCATTCAGTGGGGCAAAGGGCTGTCCCTGTTTGCACTTGCCAGTGGTCAAAGGAAGCATGATTTGGTTAAAATCTGGGCACTGATTAGATTGTCATTCCTGGTGTGGCTTTTGTTGCTGCAATCACAAGGTCTATCAAAACAGGTGGGGCAGGCTATTTCCCTTCTGGGAAACCCCACCCCAGTTCCATGCAGACTGAAATTGGGGAGAAATTTTTGGTTTTTTATTTTTTTAAACATAATTTTTATTGGGTTTTCCATATTTCATTACATTTTCATTACACCAATCCATAACTTAAAGCATTGCTCAAACAAAGCATCAACTTCCTTCCCTCCCTCTTTCTGACTTCCAAACATCTTTTACAAATTCTTCGCATTTGAAATTAAATCTCTCTCTGCCCTTTTCACTCTGTATTCACTAGGAAATCACATCAGGCTTTTGAGCATTTGAAGGAATGTCTCTTTATCTCCTTCCTACATTTGAAGGAATGTCTGTTTATTTGTTTCCTAAAATTTACTTCTGAAAAGTTAAAATAGCAGCAGGCTAAAAACAGATTAAAACTCGCGTCTACCTTCACAGCACCTGGGCGGGCTTGTCTAAACAAGACTGTTTTCAGCAGACCCCGAAAAGAGCACAGCGAAGGCGCCTGCCTGGTGTCAAGTGGCAGGGAGTTCCGAAGTCCACTAAAAAGAGTGATTTATGCCTTGTTCCCAGTGTTGCTAAAGTGGATCGCTCATGGATCTTCCATGTCCGGGAGTGGTATATCTCTGAATATTGGATGCTGGAGATAAACAGTGGAGGGGTGTTATAACTTCTGTCTCCTGCTGGAAGTGAGCTGCTGGAATTGGCAGAGCTGTTCCTTTCTCCTGTTTTTTCAGGACTGCTGGGTTTATCGCCTGCAAAAATCAAGGCGTATGGGGAATAAATACCAAGAGGGAGAATGCAAGTCATTTAATCCCTCCCAATGACAGTCAAATACAATAACTCACATTTCCCCAGGAGCTTTTTAAAGGATTATAGAATGCAACACACACACACGTATTTTGACTCCATTGCCTAATATGGTTGGTTCTCTGTGCCTGCTTCGCTTGGGTCGTGGTTCTCCTGCAAATTCTCCCAGATTCCTGTTCCTGCCAGATCTGCCTTTTTCAGTTTGGCTGGGAGGCCCAGTTCCTTTTCATCAGGAGGCTGCGGGGAGTGGGAAGAAGAGAAGAGATTCGTGGTTGTGCATGGACTTCGTTTTCAAAAGTATTCAAGGCAGCTGCACAACAAGCAGACAAAATCCCCGGAGAGCGCTTTGATGCCTCCAAGCTGGGGTGTGGGTGGGTGGGTGGACTTCTGCAAAGTGGCTTTCTCCCCCTCAGCTACCACTGTCTATGGCAAGAAATATTAGGATTATCCATCAATATTAAACAATGACAGGAATTCTTCTTCTTCTTCTTTAATATAAAATTTTATTAGGTTTTTTAACATACCGCTTTCAACAATAATTAAACATACGTACTTTTACATCTTATTCATTTTTTTGACTTCCATCAGTCCTGTCTGAAAATTTTTCCAGTCTAATCTCTTAGTATGCATTTCTTACTTTCCCTATTACATTTAAAACTCATAACCAATATCTCTATCTTTTTCTACTTTGTAACACTTTGTATATTTCTCCTTGCAAAACTTCTTGTAGTCCTACTAGCGTAATTTGTTGGTTACAATTGCTCTTCAAATAGTTCATATACTTCTTCCAATCCTCTGGTCCCGCAGGTTTTGAATCCTTCCTGCCATTTTGTCCAATTCTGCGTAATCCATTAATTTCGTCTGCCATTCTCCTTTCGAGGAATTCTCAAGGGACATCCAAATGGTTCCTGAATCCTGCCCTTAAAGAAAAGCAACATTTTTTGAGCTTTTCTTCCAGCAGAGGAGAAAGCGCCGGTCACTTTCCTCCTGAACTCTTCTGCTGAATCCTACCTCCTTCTCCCCAGGAAAGAAGGGGCTCAGTGCCTCTGCAATGGCCTCGAGTCCCAGTCTGTTGCAAGCTGAAAGTTCTGTGGGGTCTGGCAAGAGTTTGGGGTTCCCTGAGAAATCAGCATCCAAAAGATAGGAAGAGTCGTCTCAAATCCCTCATCTAGCCCCTTTTAGGCAAGCGTGAAAGGTCAGTAAAACAGGTATTCAGAGGATCATAGAATGGTTGAGTAGGAAGGGATCCTAAGGGGTCATCTAGGCCAACCCCCTGCTGTGCAGGAGTCGCTTTTCCTTACAATCCTTTGGAGACGATTTGCCTCTGCCTCTCCCTTGCCAATCATTTCCCTTGCTTGCTCAAATGCCAGCTACTTTGCAGTGCCCTCCAACGCCTCACTGCCCTGGCTCCTCAAGCCTCAACTGACCCCTTGGGTTCTCTTTATCAGTCCAGCGGCGTAGCGTGGGTTGTCAGCACCCGGGGCAAGGCAAGTAATTTGTGCCCCCTAACCCGGGGCAAGGCAAGTAATTTGCGCCCCCTAACCCCTAACCTGCCGCCGCTGCCAGCTTCTTCTTGCTGCTGCCTGGTCTGGTCTGGTGTGGTTCTCTCCCGCGCTCAGTGCTACGCTGGGCGGCTGCTGCACTGTCCCTCCCCCAGATAGTCCTTCGCTCTCTCTCCGCACCGCACGCCTGGCACCCACCCCCTCCACAGTGGGCGGCGACCCAGCGGCTCGGATCGGATTCGCACAGCCAGCGCTGCAGTGAGAGAGTGAGTGAGCCAGGTAGGGGCAGAGAGCTGCGAGTGCGAGCGCGCCCCCCCCAGATGTTGCGCCCGGTGCGGCCGGCCCCCCCTGCACCCCCCACGCTACGCCACTGTATCAGTCCATTCCCGATTCCAAGTGCTATCTTCAGTCTCCTTTTGTCTGGCCTCCTTATCCTTCACATTCCCCAAACCCTATTCTCATTCTTTGCTCCTCAGCCTTCTCCGTGTCCATTTTTAACCCCAGCCAGACTGACAACTTTCCCTTCAGTCTCAGAAACTGGACTGCAGGTTTCTATTTCCTGAGCAGCTGGGACATTCCATATATCACCAAGGCAGCTCAGACCCTGGGTGCCAGAGGCAAAGATCCCACAGGAGCCATACGGCAGAGTGTGGTGTGTGAAATGTAGCGCAGGAGCAAGGAGACCTGAGATCACATCCCTGCTCAGCCATAAAGCTCCCTGGTGATGCGCAGCCAGCAATCTTTTGCCATTACATTGCACTCTTATAGATGTCACGTAATACCCGTTCCTCATTTTAGCAAAGGAATCCCTTTAGTGTGGCAGCACTTAAAACTTCGGAACTCCCTCCCTATTGACATCTTTTACAGGGCCATTTCTGCAAATCAAAGCAGTTGAATGGGCATATACAGGCAATAATGATAATAATATATACAGATAATAAAAATAACATTATATTCTTTTTCAAGAGCACCAAATCCAGAATGTAAAATGCTTGAATGCACAAGCATTGTGACACCTCTCTCCTGGGGCAAAAATATTCTTGGCTTTCCTTTTTAAAAAATATATCTTTATTAATTTAAAATAAATACAGTACATTTATGGGAAAACAGACTACGTACAAGTAAACAAACATACAATAAAACATACAAATAACAGAAAAATCAAACAAACCACCACACTATAAGATCCAAGAAGATTAATATAATTATTATCATCATATATACTCCTGATACTGAACACAATTATAAAACTTATAGAGAAGAAATTTAAAATTGATTTCCAGTTAATCTCACTGTACTTTATCTATCCATTACTCTATACCACACAGTTACATATTTCTTACATAATTTCTTTTTACCTCCCTACAAACTTATATTTATACAATACAGGGATCAGTCTAATTCTGCCAAGATGTTTCCTTTTATTCCACAGTTTTCTAAATATTCTTTAAAGATTCCTTATAGACTTTTTGTTTTGGTTGGCCTCTTCCTGTCGCTTTCTCTAGCTGCAGATATTGGTTGGCATTCCTTTTCCTTGCTCTTTCAGCCTCAGCTTAGCTCTTTGGGAGAGCAAAGGCCCTTCTCTGAATGTGGCTCCTGCAATCAGGCAAGGAGGAGCAGATCAAGGAGTCTAGCTGCCCCCAAACTAATGCCATTTTCCATTTACCGGCTGATTTCTCAGAGCTCTGACGCATTCCCAGAGCCGCATCTGCATAACAAAACCCATGATTAGATCACTTGCTGGTTGGCAGCTCCAGCTGCCCACTCATCCCACTGGAGCCATTATTTTAGGATATCTGGTGATAATGGGGTTTCAGAAGCCGCCCCCCCACCCATTGGGGAGGGTGGTTTCTCATACTTCCCCTTACACAGCTATTTTTAAAAGAGACAGCAAGCGACCTTGAGACCTAGTGACCAACAGATAATTAAATCTCCAATTCAAGTTGGAGGCAGGCACCCATTTGCCACCTGGTTCCCCCAAGGTCAACACACTGGAAAGATGGAGTCACTCGCAAGGCACTTACAAACATCTGACCTTTTAGCATCGCTGGTTTCAAAATAGCAGCAGTCACAAGACTTTCAGCCATTAAAGGCGGGTTGCCAATATTAGGCATACTCCATTGATATCAAGAGGCCTACTCAGGAAGTATGACTTCGTTGGATGTCACCCAATGGTTTTTTACATGGTGAATTAAAGAATTTCCATTTTATTTGCTGGTTTATTGAATCTAGGTAAAGGGACCCCAGACTGTTAGGTCCAGTCATGGCCGACTCTGGGGTTGTGGCACTCATCTCGCTTTATTGGCCAAGGGAGCCGGCGTACAGCTTCCAGGTCATGTGGCCAGCATGACTAAGCCGCTTCTGGCGAACCAGAGCAGCGCACGGAAACGCTGTTTACCTTCCCGACGGAGCGGTACCTATTTATCTACTTGCACTTTGACGTGCTTTCGAACTGCTAGGTTGGCAGGAGCAGGGACCGAGCAACGGGAGCTCACCCAGTGGCGGCCTCTCCTTCCTTGGAGGTTTTTAAGCAGAGGTTGGATGGCCATCTGCAAGGAATTCTTTAGCCGAGATCCCTCCATCGGAGGGGGTTGGACTAGATGACCCTCGGGGCCCCTACCGACTTTACAATTCTGTGATTCTATAGAGTAAGGAAGCAGAAAGGTGAAGTACATGTGGATGCAAACACACACACACACCCCTTTTCTGAGTTTTTGGGAGTACAATTGAAAAGACACCTTTGTCCTACACAGTCATACCTCGGGTTACAGACACTTCAGTTGTGTTTTTTGTGTTGTGGACCGCCGAAACCCAGAAGTACCAGAATGGGTTACTTCCGGGTTTCAGCGGTTGCGCATGCACAGAAGTGCCGAATCGCAACCTGCACATGCGCAGACACGCCGCTGCGGGTTGCGGATGCTGCGGGTTGCGAAGTTGCATCCTGCACAGATCACGTTCGCAACCCAGGCATCCAACAAACATTCCAGCGACTGAACAGAGCCCAACCTTTTCATTAGTGTTTGATCAGAGGAAAACTCGGTTCGCACCACAAACAAAGGCTGCCCTATGCCATGGGCAGAGACACTTGCCCTCCGAAGCAAGCAAGATTTTGCCACCTATTTCCATAAAATCTAGGATTTCACAAAGGCCTGGTTAACTCTTCTGAGCCACAGGGAATTCAGGAACTAACAATATTGCCGTCTTTCGTTTGTCTAGTTCTTAGGCAGAATCCATAGCTCAGTCGCTTGTTTGTTTAAAGCTAAAATGGTGTGTGCTGTTTGATCTGGCAGTTCAGTAACTATTCAGTATGCAGTTCCCCTGTGAGTCAAAGTAGATTAAAATTTCAACCTGTGAGAACGGTATGCGGGACTACGATCCAGGGGGATTCTTCCTAGGTTCACAATGCCATATTCCTTCCACCGCAACCACCCCATATCAGTTCAATTCTCTGTATTGCTGGAAGCATTTAAACAGCAACAATCCATAGAGTGGTTAGGAAAACCCAGCCAGATGGGCAGGGAATAATAATAATAATAATAATAATAATGGGAGCTGCATTCCATTAAAACTCCTTTTTCAAATATTACATCAGGGGTCAGCAAACCTTTTCAGCAGGGGGCCGGTCCACTGTCCCTCAGACCTTGTGGGGGGGGGCCCGGACTATATTTTGAAGGAAAAAAATGAACAAATTCCTATGCCCCACAAATAACTCTGAGATGTATTTTAAATAAAAGGACACATTCTACTCATGTAAAAACACGCTGATTCCCGGACCATCTGTGGGCCGGATTGAGAAGGTGATTGGGCCAGATCCGGCCCCTGGGCCTTAGTTTGCCTACCCATGTATTACATGCTTATAGTAAGAGTCCCAGTACTTGGAAGCCGGAGTCCACTTACTCCCTAAAGTCATTGAAAAAGTATTTCCTTTTGGTGAACTGCCCTCTTTCCAGAGGCGAAATGTGGGGAGGCCGGGCGGGCAGTGGCCCCAGGTGCACATTTTTGAGGGGACGGGATCAGGCACCCCCAAGAAAGGCCTAGAGCCCTAGCAGCTGAGGTTTGGCAGAGGATCGGTTGGTCCAGTGGGGAGGTGGATGGTCCAGTGGGCGAGGAGCCTATCGGAGGCAGGATCCATTCACCCTCCATGTACGCTGTGTGCCCCCACCCCAGCTGCCCAGTCCACCAAGGAGGTGCAACGTTTGCCCTGCCCCGGGCACCAGGAAACCACCCTATGCCTCTCTCCCCCCCTCTCTCTGAGCTGTATCTGTCAGTTTATCCATTTCAGCAATTGATCACTTGATAATTAGTGGGACACGGGTGGCGCTGTGGTCTAAACCACAGAGCCTAGGACTTGCCAATGAGCTCCCATTGCTCGGTCCCTGCTCCTGCCCACCTAGCAGTTCGAAAGCACGTCAAAGTGCAAGTAGATCAATAGGTACCACTCCGGCGGGAAGGTAAACGGCGTTTCCGTGCGCTGCTCTGGTTCGCGAGAAGCGGCTTAGTCATGCTGGCCACATGACCCGGAAACTGTACGCCGGCTCCCTCGGCCAATAAAGCGAGATGAGCGCCGCAACCCCAGAGTCGTCCACCACTGGACCTAATGGTCAGGGGTCCCTTTACCTTTACCTTTAAGCTCCTTTAAATACTGTGGCGCTTGCTTCTGAGTAGACAGTGTAAGGCTGCATTTACAATGAAGGAATAAAAACCCCACGTGTTTCCTAAGGAATGGCTGGCTGCGAAAGCATTGCAATTAGAGAAATTAAAGTGGATTGGTGACGTTTTCCTTCAAAATTATAGGAAGGGCTGGCATATGAAATTGTGGGGGGGAATCCACATTTCTCACATCACTATCGCTGACCATTGCCTTGGCTGGCCAGAGTGTCCAGAGCTTTAGTCTAAAACCTCTGAAGGGTAGGCACTAGCTTAGAATCATAAAATTGTAGAGTTAGAAGGATTCTGCAATGCAGGAATCTCAGCTCCCGCATCCCTGGTGACCTTGTGGCAAGGTGCTTCTTTGCCTTGAATAAAAGTGCTTTGAAATTCAAAACTGCATCCCCAAGCAAACCCACAACCCATTACAATGCACCCTGGCATTCTTCAGAAAGAAGGGGCGGCAGCTGGAGAATGAAATCCAATCAATAAAATCCAAT